TCAGCGACAACTGAAAAGTCAGCGGAGGTGAGGAGAAATAAGGTTGATGCATTTGTGTTTCTGACTCAGCTTCAGCTACACAGAGACGGGCTACTATACAATGTTTTGCCACTTAGTGGCAGCAGATTCAAAAGTATTTTACTTGTGAACATGAATCAAGTATCATTTGTGTAACTAATGACACACCATAACACCATAGCACCATAGCACGATACAAACATGAGTCAGCGTCACCACTTCAAACAAGCTGTCCGTTCATCATTCATTCATCTGCCATTCAACAAGGCAACTCTTGTTTTCTCGTTACTACTGAAAACCTGGCCACATATACCTACAATATTATGTTCTATAAGTGTGTTTTATGAAACATTGTCCCGGTGTGTGTGTGTGTGTGTGTGTGTGTTGATTCTAAACATTAGAGGGTTTGGCTCTCCACTGAATCTTGGTTTATTTCATTGGATGGGGAGTGTATGTGTGTTCCTTGGTGTATGTGTGTGTGCATGTGTGCACTATATATGCTAACCCTCTGATATGCAGTGTTAAACCAGCCATTCCACATTCTGCCTCCCCACTAAATGTAGGAAGCTAATGCTCTTCGTCCAATGTTCTGTCCCCCAGAGAACTCATTATAGTAGCTTAGCAATAGAATATGGTAGTGTGTTTTTTGCAGTGTGACTGGTCGGGTGAGATAACAAGCTAAAAAATGTCACTAAGCACATTCATTTCAGTAATGATTGTTTTCCTGCTCCCATCCTCATTGTACCCTGCCACTTGTGCCTCGTCCTATTCACAAATCTGAATCTCAGTAACTTGTCGTTGTCAGCACGGAGATAGAGAACCTTAATGAAGACGCTAAACTGTGTTGTTCAAAATACTGGTGGCTCGGTTGGTCGTCACATAAACAGTGTGGGTGTGAATCTGGCCCGGGACCTGTTACACCTCTCTTCTAATGGTTCATGTCTCCATTGTCAGCCATAAAAAAAGTTGTAATGTTACATTTAGAAATAGACTAGAGACGCAGCCTTGTCGGTGTGACTGTGTATTTTACTGAGTGATTTTGTCCTCTGTGTGACGGTTGAGTCATAGGTAAGGTACAGCCTTATTAGTCACCGGGTACCATGGTAACTGAGTGCTGCGTGAAAATGCGCACCTGCTCTCTAAATTGTGCGCCCAGGGTTGTGAATTAATGCACCTGGACCTGGACCAGTCCATGCCATCTGCGGTACATGCACAAAACACACGGCTATCTGTTAAGTCAAACGGTACAGCACATGAAAGATGTGGGAGGTTGTTTTTCACGACGTAAGACGCATATAACAACTCACCAGCCAACACAGTGTGGAAGTTGAACCCTCCTCCGTCCTCAGTAAAAATGCCATTGTCTTTCCATAGTAGTTCACGCTAATGTCTATCTCTCCTTCGCTCTGTCTAACTGTCTGTCTTCTTCCTGGCCATCCTGCTCACAGGACAGCAGACAGAAGGGGAAAAGAAGGGATGAAGCGGGGAAAGTTAGCAGAGACAAGCAAGGGAAGGAATGGTCCTCGCTGACTGACACCCATCCAGAGAGCGTCAGTGGACAACCACCTGGTGACCAAAATGTAGAGCTGGAGGGGCTGGACATTTACTCAAGGCTCCTGCACAAAAAGGTCTTTTGATTATCTTTAAATACATCATTTTACTTGTCATGTCAGGAGATCACTACTCTACTGTCAGACATAAATAACCCTGATGATGTCAACTAATGAAAGACACTATCCAGTTGCATTATGGGAAATGTTGGATGAGTTTTTGGAGCTTGACCCAAACTATAGCTTCTTCCAAACTGCTCTGAATCAGTCTGACAACTCGCTCGAGATGCACGCACACTTACTTACACACAGCTGGTGCAACAGGCTGCTGAGCTGCAGCACACTGTTCACACTGTGTTACTTTATTGCTATTTTTACCCTGTTTATTCCATACCATTCAACTAGTGATTGAAAGTCAGGATATGTCGACCTCTGCTGCTTCAATTCTGACCGCTTTTAAAAGAAGACTCCCACCCCCCTGCATCTAAAGCATCCAGACCACTTTAAAGGTCTCCCACTGTCCTATATTCATCTTATGAATACATGTATGAGTCTTTATACTTATCTGTCTGGCAGGTTTATGCTCTGATGGAGGACCTGGTGGACAGCCTGTGTGACCTGATGGATGAGCTCAGTGAGAGAGAATGAACGGACACACCAGAGGCAGGCACGGGAGCCCAGTGAATACTACTAAATGTACATGTCCGATTGTGAAACCAATAAACTTTTTGTGTTCCTCTGAGTAACACTCATCCTGTCTCGCTCACTGTGTCACCTTATCCTCAGCGGACGGTAGTAAGGACCGCTGACTCTGCAAACGTCGCGCCCCCGTCCGTCCCTGCCTCTCTCTCTCTCTCTCTCTCTCTCTCTCCTCTCCCCTCTCTCTCTCCCTTTACGCTCCCCGTTGATTGCCGTGTGTGCTGTGCCGTGCCGTGCTGTGCATGCGTGGCCTGCCGGGTGCGTGTGTGGATGGGGGCTGCCTGACAGAGAGAGGGAGTGAGCGAGCTGCCGTGTGCTGTGCTGTGGCTTATCCTTGTCCTATGCGGATTTCACCGCTGACTGCCCGCCCGAGCGGCTCGCATCAGCCGGGGTAGGCCGGGGATTTGGACGCTGACATTCCCATTCAAGGCTTCCTAAAACACTCGGCTCCTCTCTCACGTTTTCTGGATATAGGTGGAAAGGGGAGGGGGGGGGTGGATAATCGTGGTTGTCCTGGTTAACCGATCCCAGTGGAGGGGATATTACCGGGGACCTGGAGAGGCGAGGATGCTCAGTGGACACGGCGGGAGATGAGCAATGGGCAAGGTAAAGTGGATGTTGTTGGACCATTCATTCTCTTTAGAAGTGTGTAGCCTGTATATTTATACGCTCTGACCAACTACCACGCCGATCTATTATATGTAACTCCAGTGGTAGTTGGCCTTGCACAGGAATCCGCGCTACACATGGAAACTCCAAAGCAAGAGAGAGATTGTGTGTGTGTGTGTGAGAG